TTCAAAATCAGAAAAATTAACGGTTTACTCTGTTTAATCTTTTAGAGGAAGCAGGTAATACTGTCTCTTCCTTTCTTAGAGGATAAGGTTACATTAATTACTATAGCGGTGAAATGTTTCCCACACTGTTAATCTGCGAACGGAGGAAATTTCAACCTTCTCACTAGTGCCAAGCATAGAATAATAGGGGCATCAAATCTGCGAGAAAAATGGACGCAAGGCAGGCAATTTCGATGCTAATTACCCCGTTTGATGGATGATACGAGCAACCTGGCTCCAGATATAACAGACAATGGCTTTACCACCTTTTACTCAGATGGGAAATATCTGCGGGTAGGATTGTTTTTTTGTATTTAGTAAGTCGACGCATGCACAAATTTACACATTTTTTGCAATGCTTTAAGCAAGAGAATGGAGAATTTTCTTAGAAGTTTTCTATCCTTTCAACAGTGGTTGCCCTGTTGAGTATATCTGGTTATATTGCAGCCAACGGATTGAGCCATTCTTCTCCTGTCCACTTTAGCGTTTTCCACAAGGGAACGCATCGTGGTCAACCCGACAATGACACAGTGGATGTCAGAGTAACGGTACTGTGTCATATGTCTCGTGTCTCTTCCCGACCATCAGTGGCCCAACAGACCATGTGAGAGTCATTCGTTTCTGAGTTTTGTCTGCGTGTTTCGTCGTCTGTTCTTCTTACGAAGATATTCTATCTTCCTTTCTACTGCTATTTCTTTCGACAGTTTACTAGAAGAATTTCTTGTCGGTATCAATTTTCCTTTACTGTAAGGCCCAAGTTATCAGCAGCTTTTATTTTATCAAATGAAAATAAATGTTGTTGATGTTTTTTGTATAAAAGCATAAAGATAAATCTGTAATATCGATTTCTTTATTACACCAAATAATTAAAGGTATTAATGCTTAATCCTCTTAAAATTATCATAACATATAAAATTCAGTTTATTCTATTAATATTTATAGATTCTTTTTATTATTATAATTTTTTTTTAAGTTGGATTTGTTTTACTGTTTAAAAATAATGGCAAAATTTAATTTTTATATTAATTTTTTTTCAATATTTTTAAATATGAAACATCGTTATCATACGTGAAAGCTCGCAAAAAATTCAGTTGATTTTAATTATAAAAATTGTATGTTTTAAAATGTTTTTTTTTCAACTTTTAATCATAAAAAAATCAAAAACACGAAAAAAGATCGACAATAAAATACCCATTTTTAATATATTCTTCGCATCAATATATCGAATATTGTTGCAAAAAACGATTTTTTCCAATTTTAATTTGTCAAAGGACACTTTCACTTAAATTTTCTACATCAACCGTACAATCAAAAAGTATATAAGAGGAAAAAACAGAATTTTAACATCTGAGACAACTTAATCACTTGGCAAGTTGGTTGACAATCAGCAAAGTCGGCAGAGAAATTCGATAGCTTGATGTACATTATACACCCCCACTGCAACTTATTAATATCTGGATTAATAACGAGAGGAAACGCGCCAAGGATTACATCGAAAGTTTGCCTCCTACCTAGTGATTATCTTCATGCTTGAAATATCATCTTGCCACACTTAATGTTCTGTAATTTTTTTCCGCTTCAGTTCGGAGTTGTCAAAATTTATACGTCTCCTATAACCTTTCCAATCTCTGTTTGTCTTCATTCTGCTTTAGATTTTTTCTCATTTTAAAAAATTTTTTTAAAGATCAACTCGAAATTTAAAATTCTGAATATACTAGTAAATTCTTTTGCTAAATTTCTTAACAATTTGCAAAACAGAGTGGTGAACCGTCAGTAATAATAGCGAATTTTCTTTCTTTCCTTCATAAGGTTTAAATAAAGAATAACATTTTTAAAAAATTCTTTTTAATAAGTACGGAAGAGGAAAAAAAAATTAAGAAAGACGAAATCATAAATGAGTAATTAACTTATTGATAAAAAAAAATCGTAAGGAGTTTGGATAAAATAAAGGCAAAAACGTTATTTCGCAAAGTATCAGCTACTAGTTACATCGGCGTGACGTCAAAATGTATGTCGTGGCATTAAGGATAATGGAATGCACAGTGACTGTACCCCTAAGCTTAATGCCACGTTTCAGTTTTAGACAAGACGCATCAAAAACGGTTGGAAATGAAGGAACTTCTGTTCAGTAGGAGATGTATGTTTACTTCAGAAAGTCACCTGGCCGTGAAATGAAACAGGGTAGCTGTAATTTGTTTGAATCGAAACAATTCCAACCAAAAACTCTTTTACTATCACTGTTTAGGACAATCAATCACAATTCGACAGGGTTTAGTAATATTAAGAGGAGAAAATAGTCGAGTGATTATCCAGCGATGACTTCTTCCTTACTTAAGTCGGATAGCAATAATCGATACGAACTTTTATCAATGATTAGATTATTTTTTAGACGTAAATTATTCGTTTTATCAACAGAGGACAGGGTGAAGGACGAGGAAAACTTTCCACGACTTCTCTATGTAATAGGAATTCGAGTAAGTGAATGAATAAATAATATTATGGTGGTGTGACTGAGATTGGTTTTCTTGTTTTCTCTTCTTTCGATCTGTAGGAATAGTGTTAGACGTGGTTTAATAATACAGACACTTCTATTTTTATTTTTAATAGAATAATTAAATCAAATTCTTCTAAATTAGTGTATGGGATAACGAAGTAACTGCATTTTGTAGCTTTAAATATATATACGTAGGCCTATATTATAAATGTTTTTATTTATTTATTAAAATATTGAAAAATATAGTGAATTTTTTTTTATTTTAAATTTGAGAAGTAAATCTGCATCAACCTGTACAATTTCCGTAGCAGAGCTGCATCTTTGCAGAGAACAGTGAGGCAGAATATATACTCTGGCAGAGAAACACCGCCCTCTACTCAACACACCAAAAAAGAGGGAGAGAGAGGCAACCGTTTAGAAAATCCGTCTGTCGAGAGAGAAATAGAAAGTAATAAGAAATGGTAGAGTAGAGCCACAGGTACGGTAGCCCGAGGGACAAAAGCGAAACTTTCATTTCCTGTGTTCCCGTGTTGACAACTTCACGTTCTGTCCGTGGTCTACCACTAGTAAACAACAACCCTTGCAATCCCCCAAACCCATCGATTTGTTCCAAGTCGACTAGATGACATACCACTCACACCACTCCTCTTGTGGTTCAGCGCTGTAATAACTTACCAATGAAATTGCTTGGAGGCTTTGCTTTAAAAGATCTCATTTCCTTTCCGTCATCACACGTAGGATTTGATTTAGGACTTTTAAGTGTCACATAACCAACGCTTGTCATCATGTCGACTTAGTTGACAAACTATTCTTTCTCTCGGGCTAAACTGTCTGCTACATTAATCGATTCTTTCTAAATAACCTAAACATATTTTTAATTTTAAAGAAATAACAATAGTAATTTACTTAAATTTTCTAAGGTAACTTTCTCTACTTCCTTTTTTTTTTCCTCCTTTAACTAATGGCCCTCTCATTTTCCGTTTTAACAACGTTTTAAAGAAACATTAACATTTAATTGGTAAATATAAATGAAAAGCAAAAAGGCCAACCCGTGTAAAAACTAAATTCTCTATCTGCGCAATGAATCAATTGAAAATGTTGCTAGAAAGTGATGAGGGAACGTTATTGATCATTGAGGGAGTTGTAAACATTAAACACTTACTATCTGCGACAGGGATGTCACTTGCTTGACAAATGACATTGGCTCCCTTATGTCTGGGTTAGTCTCACAGCGATCGTTCTTTTTGTCTGCGAGGCGGAATGGATAATTGTGCTGTTACCGATTTCGTGGTTGACGAAATCAGCATCACTAGTGTTGCAAAACACCATAGTCTCGATATCTGTCGCGATTGTTATTGAAACAGACGTGTCTCGATAGAAACAATATGTTCTCATATACCACTTCCTGCTGTCAATTTACCGACTTATTTAGTTTTGTTCATATCTGTTTTCTGCATTATTATTTTTTTATGTATACAACAGAGGCCAGTGGTCGATCAAAGCTTTTAAATAAAATATCACTCAGTTGCAAAATTTTTTTTTCTACCAGTGATTTTAATATATTTTAACCCCAAAAAATCAACTTTCCCGAACTTTATTAGCTGTTATATCCAAAATCCTTATCTGGAAGAATAATTAAATTTCAAATGTAATTTGAATTCATACGAAGTATTGTAATCAGATAATTCGTCGAAGATAATCTCGAAATAATGATCAATCTTGTCGATTATCTGTCGGGATGCTTAGAACGAGTATATTTAAGATTTAGTTTTTTCTGTGCTAATTTGTTTCCTGGACTCATCATGCAAAAACACTTTGCATGATGAGTTCAGGAAACTGATAAAAAAAAAAAAAACCTGCGGGCGGCTTAGTTTATTTTATTATTGATTAAGTTGAATAGGTTATACTGATCGAAGGAATCTTGCTATGGATTTTTTTTTTGTTTGTAAATATAATAGCTTGACTATATTCAAAACTTTATGATGTAAATAAAGATAACAAGCTTAAGCATTAATAACAACAACTCTATACTATGATATATTTTATTTGAAGATTTTTTTAAATTAAATTTTAATTTTCATAGAAGTATCTATTTTTAATTATTTATGTTAACAGTTCGAGAAGAGTCTGGAATTCTAACGTGAATTCTACAGAATTTAATGTTATTCTATAATAATCATATAAAAATACGGCACATTTTATTCCGAATAATTCAGCAAAGACACATTTTAACTATTCAAACAGGTAAGCTAATAAAATATTCAGTTTTTTCCTTTTATATTAATATTTGAAAATATCTATTTTGCTGTCATTTTCAATAATATTCCTCATAAGTTTACAAATAATTAAACTTGAATTTTTAATATTTAATAATATTTACAATAGTTTATATAACATTTTTACATATTTTCTTAGAAAGTATGCAGCTATAAAAGAACAAAACTGAATATAGAAAGAAACTATATTTTAATGATAAGTTCGGAGAAATTTTTAAATAAAAAAATTCTTTTTCGAGTCTATCAGAAAATTTATTTATAAAATCGATACTAGAACAAGAATATAATCAAAGTGCGTATATAAACAGTATTCTTCCAGAAAGAGAGAGAAAGAGAGAGAGAGAGAGAGAGGAAAGCAGAACTTTCTCGACTAATAAAAGCGATTCATTCTTCCGCATTTTTTTCTTTTCTTCTTTTCTTCTGTCGCCTGACTGTGGAAAAACGAAAATAGATAATTTGAAGGGTTCGAGAAGAGGAAACGAAGATACAGTGCCTATCTGACGGCTTGGAAAACTCATTGAGGCTGAAACTCCGACAGATTTCAGGTTAGAACTGGACTTAGCGTTCTGTGAAATTTTTTAATAATTTTCCCTTCGATACACCAGATGGTGGCTGAGACCATGAAAAGGTAGCTTGACTTTTGACAATGTTTGACTTCCAACTTGACAGTATAGTCGATGATGCATGTGTATCTTCTTCTCTATTCCCTATTGAGAAGTTCTGAAATATGAAACTTCACTTTTTTATTTACTAAGAAATATTTCAAAATATTCTATATTCTTTAACAGCCTATTTATTATCAAATTTACCCATTCTATATTTTTCAGTTTATCACGAGAAAAATTCACGATTTTGTCCCAAACATGCGATATTTTGTTACATCGTCTACCCATCCCCTGAAGAAACACAAAGTTTGATCAGTATTTCTTCTTATTTTCAAAGTTTTTCTCGATATTTTACACTTAAAAGTTAATAACATTTAACTTAAATTTACTAAAAGTATCAAATTTTAAATTCTTAATTATTCTTAATTATAACATTTTTAAAAATTACCTAAAAATATTAATAGAATGTATAGGCCTTTAGTAGTATAATTATAAAAATATATTTTTTCACATAATTCTTTTTCTTATTATTTTTTTAAATGTAACTTTTATCTATGAGTACTCCTTATATTAATTTAGCTTTACTTGGAATGACGAAATCAATGTTGGAAAGATGCCGAAGCTTTGTCTCTAGCAAACACACAAGAAAACTACCAAGCTGGATCGGAAAACTATATACAACTGGTAGGAATCTCTATTTTTCTATAAATCCATTAGAGCAAATGATCCAAAAATATTAAAGAACTATAAGCCAAACTTTAACACAATATCATATATTTTTTTTATTGTTTTTTTCCGTTCAGTGTCTATTTATTATTTTTTTATCGTCTTTCTTTTTACAGCATTTTATCGATAACTTGAATGATAGGTTTATCATAGATTTATTATTTAAAGAATTTATCTTAAATTAAGAATAATTACGTTCATCGATGCGCGTAAATATACACTAAAATTATCATTAAGACGATATTAATATGATTTTAGATTGAATTGAATTGCATATCTTCAATCAATCCTTCAAAACTGAAATATTAGAATAAAAAATAGAGACAATTTTTAACAGGAAGAAGGGGGAAAAGGTGGACAATGTTCGATTTTTACATTTTCCAAGAGTTGATTCTGGTAATCGCTGACATTACAAATGTTCTATCTTATGCATATTCCTGCATCATTTTGTCTTTTCCTCTGCGAATTTGGGGCGTATGACGTTTAAAAATAACCTGGAAACGTATATATATTTTTTAACTGTATAAAATTTATTCTTTGGAATGCCTAGCGTTAAGATTAATTATGAAATAAGTAGAAAGACACTCGAAATCAAAGTTTCTGTTGTTAAATAAGTACTTAGGTCAAATATTTAATCACCGACTTGTCTAGTGTAAAATTTGTTGTGCATAAAACGTGATCTTTTGGCAAAACGGCTAATCTTTCCTGTATAGGACGTAACTGGCGGCTGAAACGCCGACTGCAGTGACGATGCCAATTACTCGAAAGAAGTAGCAGACAAAGTAAAAATTCTAACATGTTGGTAATCAAGGCAATAAATAGTAGGAAGACAAAGTCAGGAGTGCTGTATCCAATCAAGCAATGCTTTCTGGGATATTTTCAAGTTGTTCTCCCCGAGGCTCAGCTACGGCATTGATGCCTACTTATTGGCTTTGTTAAAGCCTTAGTTCTTACCGTATCTAACCGAGAACTTACAAGTAGTGCTGTTTCCAAACATATCATGACATATGCCACTTGAACACGTATAGTTTAGTTGTTCTTTTCTTGACCGTAAACATCTTGGGGGTTACTGGGAGAAGAAACATCGATCGAACTTGGAAGAGATTATTATCTAGGATATATCTCTCTATCAAATTTATATTAAAATATTATCTATCTTGAAAGATTATAGATGAAAAATTACATATATAGATAACCTCGGTTGTGATCAGACCGAGTTGACAGATAGTCCACCCTGTAAGTGATAAGGTGAGCTAATACCGTGGACCAAAATGACGGGCAGTGGCGATAATGGTTCTCTCATCATGACAAGGGTAAATAACAGTCAATGATCGGGGATTACACTGCTGACAAATAGTTGTTGGTCGTAAGTAACAAACTTTTTGCACAATCTACAGATGGTTGGATGATACGTTTGTTACCGATGGCTCCTTGGAGGTCTGTTTATCTTGCTGATCGCTCTGCTGATGAGATGATGATGATCTAAGCTCCATTTTGGGAAAAGATACACTGTCGGTGTCGCGCGAGAGATTATTAATGATAATTAAGTTTCGTGAGTGGAATTTAGTATAGCAGTTTTATGTAATTAAACAAAAACGATTCGTTTTTGAATACTTTTGACAACAATCTGCAGTTTTACGATTAACCAGGTTATAATTTTGACTTTGACCGCTTCATAGGTCGGTATTATTGTCATATTGACATACACGCGAGTGTAACAACTGCCAGCAACGACAGAATATGATAGATGTCCACAAGGAATATAGGATAAATGTCAGATGTAGGTGAAGCATGACCACCAAAAGGGAAATTGTTAGAGTATAAGTTTCTGCTCCGTTTCAATTCGGTAAAATTATACTTTAGGAAAACAATAAGACAAATCCCAATTTAAATTACATAGTTATAAACATTTTCATTCAACCATATTGAAAAATGTACGTTCTAGTGGAGAAGATTTTAGCTTCAGGAATAGTTTTTCATTTTCATAATGACAAACATGAAAATTTAAAAACTTGTACCCTAAATGGGTAGTTTCCGATTCGTCGATTGATTCCGCTAAGTTGAATTTAGGAAATTCATCATTTATCTAAAAATTGTTGTTGAAGAGATCGTTCGATGAGGGACGATGGAAAAAATAAAACATCCCTTTAGGTAAAAATACTACTGAATTGTTCAGATCTCTCCTTAGATGGCCCCAAAACGGAATCGTCAGGTGCTTGTTTCTTTTTATATTCCAATGTAATTGTAAGCAGTAAGCGGAATGAAATACGTAGAAAGAATGTCGGCATCTTTTACTCATTCTTTTTTTTCAATCGGTACTAAAGAGATTGGCCTACAGCAAATAAATGATGTTTGGTCCAATGATTGCTATAATTGATATTTCTTTGTTCTTAATAAAGATTATTTCCGATTTTTTTTTTGCTGTGACAATATTTAAATTTTTTAAGATCTATGCTCATCGTTAAACTGCATGAGTATATACCCGTATGATTAGTTATAACCAATTTCAACTAGGAAACGTGGTGCCTTCTTTCACAGCTTTGAAGACAAGTGATTCAAAAATCTTCCTGACTTTGCATTTTTACATTGTCATAATAAAGGTTGTATGTAAAGCACATATATACATCTTTTATGAATGTGAGATACATCAGACTATGAATCCAACGACTTGTTTTATGTTGGACCCCATCTCCGGTTTGACGACATTTGACCCGATGTCTGCTTTTGTCGTAAACTTGAGACGGAAATTAAAGTCTCTCCACAAGCCAACAACCTTACAATATCTAGCAGGCAAATGCCCGTAAAAACGGAGGATGGCTGAGAATACAAATAGGAAGAAAGTTGTTAGACTCGCTACTGATAAACAGTACTTAACCTGAACCCAGTGGAGTGTCAAGTGAACTTTGTTGTGTGTGACATTCCCTGAAGCTGTCCACTTTCTTCTGATGCACTCCTGACAGCTACGCGGTCAATGTCTGTTTCCCTTATATAACATCATAACAGTTAATGCTATATTTAAACTCACGCTACAGATATAAGAAATATATTTACATTAATTAATTGATATTCGCCCGCTTGTAAGGTTGTAAAAGAAAATGTAACAATCGCATCTCGACTGCACCTTACCAGCAAGACACAATCACAGCAGGCAAAGCTATAATGCAAGGGGATAAGAGAAAAGCCGAAACTGGTCTGAAACTTCGGTATGTTTACAGCTGTGACTGCCAGTTGTAGAACCAAGTTATTAATGTCCAGCCGTGAAGCTGTGTTGAGTCGTAGCGAGGTGCACACAGCAACAGCTGCTCCCAGTCCAACTCTAGCGGGTAGACTAACATCGATCCAGCCTCTGGGGTTTGCCGCGACCAGAACAGCTAGAGAGTGACTCACCACACTGGCCAGTCAGCCAACCTAGCAGCGAATAAAGTAGACTCTTTTGTCTGACTAGAAATCCAACTCATAGTGATTATATTGAATCCAGTCTTTTGTCTGCTCCTATAGATCACGTATCGCTTGTCTTTGATTTCAATCACGATCAATCGCCACATGGCCGCTCTTACCCGTCAGATACTATATGTAGCAATTTACAGAGGTTTCGAGATAGCTCATTACAAACGTCAATCGTGACATTTCGACTCTCTCTATATATATATATAAAAAATGAAATAAACTATGCTAAATATATAGCCTATATATATTTATTTTTAAATCTACATGTAAATTCGTGCAGGATGAATTTTTTTCTTCTATCTAATTAATAGCAAACATGCATTACAAATTATATTATCGCATACGAAGTCAATAAAATGGATTCTTTACATAGAACAATCACGCAAATGTCAGCGATCGTTTCATCAAGCAAACAATTAAGCTCAAAGCTTTTCAGACTTTCAGTCAGTCATTTGCGTGATCTTAATGAAAGGTCTTTGTGTGGAAAGCGACAAATCCAGTTGTGGTCGACAGATTCCGGTTTCTGATACCATCCAGCCATTACAGCTTTTTCAAAACATTTTTATTTTGCCAAAAAATAATAATAAATGAATTTACTAATGTACTGTACTTTCTATATAATAAATTTTATTTATAACTAGACATAGGAGTTGTGTTGGGGTTAGTTGCCTGTTGTTGTAGGGATTTTTACAACGGGGGTTATTTAGTGGGATGGCCGTCGCCAACAATAAACTCCACCTACTGTATACAGTTGAACACCCAATGGATTTTATCACACTTCAAACATTACCGACGACACTAGGGGACATCCTGTAACAACAGTTTATTTCTAGCTGCTCTCGGACTCACTAATGGAAAACACCCACTAACGACGTCCGGTGGGGTCTAAATTGTGACCTGAAGCAAGTTACAGCTAGAGATGTTTTGTCCCACAAAAAGTTCCGAACGTGTTTCTCTAATAAACCGCAAGAATGTCTTCATTTCCTTTCTTTTCTTACGCTGTTTACAACTAAAAGCATTTTCTTATAAAACTCTCAAAGCTCTTTGGGAAAAAAGTCTCCCCCAAACAATTTATAACATTGGTGAGAGGTAGTACGCGCAGTCGAATTTTACGCGTAATTGTAGCTAGAACAATGTTCGATTTCTCATTTCATCTTTAAAATCCTTAATTTGTACCTTTCGACGTCGATTATGCAAAGAAAGAGATTTTATTATTCAAAAGATTTAAACATAATTAATTATAATGTAGGTTGGCTTCTTAACTATGAAAAATAATATGCTACTTTTATACATATAAATTAAATCGTTATCAAATTTATTTAACTTATATTAGTTACGATATATAACAAAAATTTTAATATTAATTTCAAAATAAATAATTTTTTCTAATATGAAAGCAAAATTTTAAAAAAAATTTCATACTTATCATTTGGTTTTATATATCAATTCGTTTCGTTTTTTAATAATAATAATAAAGTTTGAATTATGAAGGTTATAAATATACCCGAAAATTATTTAGATGTTAACGCTAATTATATATCGAAATGAAAAAGTTATTTTATCATTTAAAAATAATTCTTTTTTTATTTTTTTAAAGCATCATCCATAAGGTTTAAGAAGCGAATAAAAAAATAATTTCAAAATTTTTGAAATAATGAATAATTTTATAAGTTATAAAATAATCCCAAATACATTTATCAAGTTCATTGGATGCTGTAGCATCAGTTGAAAGAACCGAACAAGAATTGATCAGCTGGCCATCCTTTGTTAATTAGATAGTCTTGCTTCCTTTTCTAGTCCCTGAGGAATGTGTGAAGCGATCGTTGAGAAAACAGCACCTCGATTGCCGGTGCAGGGGAACAGGGGAAGCATCCGAGAGAAACGCAATTTCCTTTTTGGTGAAGAAACAAGAAACTAAGCGCATCCGGAACCAAAAAGCCGCAGCATGTCATTGAAAAGAAGACGTCTGCGCGACAACTCATCCTAATTATTAGGCAATGGTCGACTAAGATATGCTGCACTTTAATTAACATTAAACTGTAGACGAGAGATAAAACTGATGAAGGAAGACAAGATAAACAGCAGAAACATAATCGCAATTCCTGTCTTGATGTTATTACTGTAAGCCTTCTACGTCCGACATAATTGAACAAATGATATCTAACCCACACTTGGTAGTGCTGCCTTGCAGACAAGACATTGCTCCCCTTCTTCTTCCCCCAACTTTCCAATAAGGCTCCGGGGTTTTTAACAAACTTTGGTACAACTTCTTTCGCAATGGTAAAGGTGATAAAAATTAATTAAATCAACACCCTTTCCAATCTCCTGTCCCGTTTCCCCTGTAGTTCATCAACAAAGGTAGAAAAATGATGAGGCCTTGCGCCCAGTCATTATCATCCGTCTGCTGTACATGAACTAATCTAATTTGTATGTCGCTGGGTTGGTATTAAACGTCGGCATAGTGGATGTCGCCTACAGCGCTGCTTGTGTACCTACAGGACAGTTGGACCACTGCCGACTGTTGACATAGGACGTGCCCCGGGCAAAGAACTTCCTCAACTACAATTGAAGACAACACTGCTGACGCTCATCAAGGCTTCCATTAAACTGCTACAGCCTCTGACTTAAAACGATTTTTTCTTCCTCCTTGTTTCGCGCATCTTTCATTAGTGCAAGTCTGCAATTCCTGCCATTTCTTCTTTCTTCTCTTAAGAATTATCATTCGATTAATTAATTAATATTACTCCATTCTTCATCGGAATTATTAAATTAAGATTTCTATAAGGACAGTTGGACCCTGACCAACCAACTTCATAAGATAATTTTTATACGAAAACACCATCTTGTCGAAAGTGGAATGAAAAAGAATTAAAAAGTTTATTTCTAAAAGAAAACATCATCACTTCTAATTAACTTTTTGCTGCTTAATTTTCCAACATGTGTTAATTTTTATCCCTCTCTGACATCTGTGGCCATAAAGCAGAAGCCATCCTTCAGTTTTTACTTTCATTGGCTCACTCTCTCCCCTTACTTTAGATGACAAAAGTTTCTTTAAAACTTCGATCAGAAAGAATATCAATAATTTATTTCGTTTGATTAACAAAGTTTCTTTTAACTTGAAAGTTTGTTAATCAGTCTATATAAATCATTAATTTCTCTTTCTACGTCAATTACAATAGTTTCAGCCCTGTTCAACGCGCTTCACAAAATGGCTGCTTCTTTTCCAATTTGCCTAATTAGAAAATAATGGATTTTGTTTAAGGATTTAAACACAAATTAACGAATTATAAAAAACTCTTATTTATGCAAATCGTCATGAAATTGTTAGTTTACATAAGCATCAAAATTTTCAAAGATTTTTTTCCTATTTCTTATTTTAATTTTATAAGATTTCTTCTTATTTAATGTGCAATCACAATAAGATGCTTTCTGCACAACTTACATTTTTAATCCTTCCGTTTGCTCCGCTGTAGATACGTAGTAAACTCTGTAAAGTGAAGATATCTAGTTGAATATAACCATATTTATTGCAACGGCGTACTTACTAGGATAAAAATTTTAGATATTCCTAATAAAAAGCTTTCTTTCCAAACTAAGTAATAGTCTAACCTCCAGTGCAGTTTAATTACCAAATAAAAGCGTTCCTTCTCTGCAATAGTGCTCACCTTTATAGTTGAAATCTAAAATATATCGAGCGGGGCAGAAGTATTTGGCCAGTTATGCTGTCATTTATAATCCATCAGTAAAAAGAGCCGCATTCTTTTATCAAAAGAGTAATAAATTCGCAAAGACCAAAAAAGACCACCTAGTGTTAAAGAAAAAATATATACTTTTATGTACCAGCAAGACATTGGATTGCATAAAGTCAGATTATGCATTTCTTAAGGGAAAGTATCAGCCATAATAAAAGTGGAGTCTATAGAAGCAACGTTGATCTTGCTATCGACTCAATCAGCCAAACGCTCCAACTGTAGACCGTCTTTTTTGACGATAATGCGACCGTTTGCGTGCCCCAGGCCAGCCCATTCGCTGTGGCACCATTAACCTGTCATCTCCGATAAGAGAGAAGGCGAAGCGACATCGAAGGACCGAGTGCGGAGTGCGGTGAACGAAAGCTGTAACGTTTCTGCCACAAGTCTTATCATCAGAACTCCACCAAGTACAAACCTGTGATTTCTTCGCAGATCTGACATGGTCAGCAATCAAATGGAGTGTTTTCTTTCCTACCATAGACATTTCTGTATACACACAGCCTGCGACTTTTCTTCCAACAGATGTTAGAAATCGAGAAGGTTGTTGAGATCTTTCTACTGCTGGTGTAATGCTTTTTTCTTGTTATTTTTTATCCTACTTTCTTCCTCCTTTCTTTTTACTTATTTTCTTCATTAATAAAATCGAACTGCATAATATTAAAACGCTTATAAGAGAGATGAATAATCTGTTTATCGCTATACTTAACATATTTATATTTATAAAGAAACGATTATGATGAAATATAGCGTAATTTGTTGAATTTACGGAATGAAAGGAAGCCAAGTAACTACATATTTTATGCTGTTGTTTCTTTTCTTTATAGAGAAAAAACTACGATTTTAATTTTTTATCTGTTTTTATGTTTCTACCATATTTTGGATTTACTGTATTTTCACAGCGATTCTTTTAAATCTCAAAAATATTTAATAATAGAAGAAGCGTGTTTGTTAAATATATACAAAATTTTCGCCTATCAAGGTTAAATTTACGCTATTTATTTCGTATTTATGGTTTTATAAAACTACTTTTTATTGTTTACATGACTTATATATAATATTAATAAGTGTTATTATTGTAATGTGTTTATTTAAATTTACCTTTATGTTTAGCGAGCATTTAGCAGGATTTTTAGATAGAAAGAAGTTAAAAATGTTAGAAAAAATAATAATTAAATAAATGAAAGTTTTTTTCTTTAATTGCAGATTTGAAATTTTCAAAATGAGAAATATGAGAAGATTTGTGTGTATTAAGCACGTATGTGCCACATTCGTAAGAAGCGCAGTAGGGGTACAGTACGTGATGCCACCACCACGTGCTGATTGCTCACATGGCCAACCTGTGACGAATCAAGGAGGACGAAACTTAATCATTTACATCTGGATACAATACCCCGAAGTACTTACCTTTATGCGAACTGGGCAATCACTAAACACTGTGGATTCTAAGTTCAGTAATTCTGAACGGTTCTTAGTAGTCTTTGGGGAGGTCACCGAAGCTATTGCAACGCAGTAATGCTTTAAGTGAGGCAGACAGAATGTCTGTGTAATGTCAGTTGGTGCTACTTAATAATGCAACAGACAAAGCCCTTACACCATCCTCGCCAATTATGGAGTCTTCTACCAGTTTCGCTGTCTTGCATAATACATTCAAGTAGGATAGACGAAGAAAGCCATCCTGTTAAATCATTCATTGTAATAGCTCGTATCCCGTCACTTCACTACATGCTGACTGGTGCAATATTTATCCTACGGTTGCCAAAACCATTAACACAGTGTGCGTAAACCAACTGCAGCGGTAGTAGCCAAACAAATAAGATAGAAACACTCCTGCACGGCGCAATTTAGAACATTTCGTTTGCGGAACTTTCCTTCAACCAAAGGAACTACTATTTCTTCCTCCTTTAATATTTTAATAATTATGCCGTATGTACAAAGTGCCGAAAATTGTAGAAATAAACGATAAATTTTACAGGTTTTAGTATAATATCTAAATGTTTTCTTTCTATCGTCAATTAGAAAAATTTCCCTTATTCTTATCGTTAACATTGATTAAATATTGACAAAAACTGAAAAGCATCCTACCTATCTTAACTTCACTCTATAAATTATCGTTTAACTTTTCACTTTTCCTATAAAATAAAGACATTTTCGTCTGCGCTGTCTATTATATTCTCGTTTAGTCTTGATTTTCGAACAAAATCCTCTTAATATCTGTTTATAACGATCGTTTATCTTATACTGTTTTTCTCTTGCAGAATTACAAAGCATCTAAAAATTTCTGTGCAATAATGATGAGAGAGGGGAGAAAAATTTTTCCTCCAGGAAGTTATTAATTACCACGTATTTTCTATTATTGCCTTATATTTCGAAAAAAAAAACAATCAGATGGGTTTAAAATGATCATATATTCTATCAATTATATATAAATTAAAAACAGAATGAAGTCGATATTAAATAATAAAATAAAAATGAAACCTAAATTAAGATTTTTCTGTCGAGACACAACTGCAAAATCTTTATGCTGTGTTCAATGCAAACTAAATTATTAATACAATTTCTCTCCGCTTGCGCGTTATTATTTGGAAAGCGGCTTTTATTACACTCGCTTCTAAAGTTACAAAGATGATAAGGGCACACTCTACAGAAAATGACTCGTTTAAGTGGAACATTAACTCTTAACCAAATCATCCACAATCGATTTATTCCTTTACTAAAGACGTTTTTTAGACAGACATTTTTAGCTGATTGCATGTAGGTGATACATGACTGAGACGCTTGCAGACAAACCAATTTCTCCTCCTTCCATTATGTGACGCCAAGGTTACCGACAGATTCAATATCCTAGCTGGCTTGGTAATGGACCTTCTCCCATGTCCACTGATTACATGTAACCAACCATCTTCGAGGTACAGTTTATCTCTACCAAGACATTCTTTATCAGAAATCTCACGACAAAATACCCCTTCGGCTGTCACCTGGCGTGACTTCTCTTCTTCATGTTTGAATTTTACTTTTATTTGCTGCAACTTTTGTACGAAGCTGAAAAAGCGCGACTTCTGCCCAATCTATTACTTAGTCCGTATTGTTGGAAACGGCTTTAATGAGAGGTAACCAACTACACAAGCGGGACACGAACATTAATTTCCAACTCTTGAAATTAAATTCCTCACACAAAGACTGATGTCGTCCCCGGTAAAGGATAGCAACCACCTTCAATCGTCTATGCTACATAAATACATAAGCATAAATTATAAATCGCGCCGAGTAAGGTTTTTAACTGTATCGAATATTCTGACATAGATTAAATATTGTTTTATTTTAAAGTGCTCTTCGAAAGGTAATCCTCTAGTGTAGCGTCATTTGTTTCTGTGATAAATGTATCAATCAATTTTTTGCAGATTTTGTACGGTTTTAAACGCTCATATTTTATTGTTATCGCAAAATATTAATGCGATGATTTTTAGAAATTTCTATAATAAAGCGTAGCATTTTAGAGAAAACAGAATTCAAAGTATTTTCTTCTCGATTGAATTCGCTTGATATACGTCCTAAAATTTTCTTTTGTAGCTGGAGTGTCCAATAGCCACCCACCAGCGAAACTGTCTCTTCGGCATCCATGATTTACAATCGGTAGTGCTCTAGCAGAGCTGGTATGTCCAAAGGTTGGCCGTAAAGGGCGTCAGATGATGGAAGCAGACCGCCGAGTTTATTGCTGGCAGGACACAAAACCACACGCCATCCGCTGCCTTTACAACCTCGGAGCCCGCAAAGTGCTTGCCCTCTAATCCTCAGTGAAAGGCTTGGGCTGCTTAACGATCGAGTCTTGGCTGGCCGACTTGCTTTTCCGCTGCATTTGCTGTTAGAATTGACGACGGCATCACGTCCACCCTACCACAACTTTTGTCTTGCCTCAATATTACCGGAGAATAACCTCGAGCAGAATGGTTCGTTCATCAAAAAGAAACGTACAACTGCAACCATAAAACCTTGTTTGACCATCTCTGCCTCTCGATAAGTCGAGACGCTAGCTGACTGCCTAGGGACAACTTACCTGTGCACGCTAAGATGGACACCTGCAACAATGACGTCTCTACCGAATTACCTCCATTTTTATTCTTCTAACCAATGATTATCTAATGGCTTCTCTCGGCTTCTTTAATTAGTGGATACTTAAACGATTTTTATCGATCGCATTTTACCCGATCGATCGGCGTAAATCGACTCGTTTATTTTCGATCGCTTTTTAAATTTTTATTTAATTATTTAATTTTACAATTATTAACGATTCTCGCCAAGAGTTGGAAAATTTTCCAAGTTTAATTCAATGTCGAGAATTTTCATAAAGATCTTTTATCCGAGAAAGACACTTCATCTCCAAACGCCGAACGTCTCTCTTGATAAAAATCTTTCGATAACCCTAATTGCCGAAAAATGCGAACTTGTTCCATGTCAAAAGCGAGAATAAATGGCAAAGAAATCTTTAAAAGAATATACTGTTAATAAAACATTAAAAAAGCCTCCTTTCGTCACAAATCCCATCCACTCGAAAGGCTAGAGCAGAAAATCCGAACAATTCTTCTTTTCAAACTACCCACAGGATACTATGTTAAGAAAGTGAAGAAATGCAGATAATAAAAAATAACTGGACTAAAAACTGTCTCTCTTACCATCAATTCTGTATTATCTTACTATACAAGAATGACTATAAGGAATGGTGATTTTTTACTCCCCAACCGGTTATTCGTACGAAAATGCAATGGCTGAACTTCTAGCCTCCATCCAATGACAAATGGCAGTTACAGACATCAGATCTTGCTCCACTAATATGCCTTGATCGGCATCGCGCGACCATTAGCGCAGCTCTAGCGATCTTCAAATTTGATTTGAACTGATGGCCCAAGTAGTGACGGCTTTGACGATGGAAATGGAATAGACAGTATACAGCCACTCATTTTCACAGCCTGTGCCAGTTTGTCTCACTCACTGTTACAGATCCTCTTCGTTCTGGTCGCACAAATGGCGAATTTCTGTAAACAATTTATTAGTTACAGCCAACTGAATGCCAGTAACACTATGACATCAAACACTGGCCTTTTAGTTTCTTGATGGAATTTCAAATACATCGTTCTAAAGAGGATTAAATAAAATAGTCTCTTAATGCTCTTTAAGCCAATTGAACATTTTTTCCTATCAAATTCCTTATATATATTATCTGCATTATTAATCTTTTTTGAAAAATTAACTATTATTATCGTTATCTTTAAACTTATTCAGACTTTAAATAAATTAATTAGCCGATAATTCCAGATTTTTAAATCTTTTTATGATTTTTAGTTAACGGCTCGATCGATCTGTTTATCTAATTAAAAACAATATACATAAAAATTATTTATATTTCAAAAAAATAATAATTAAATAAATGAAAGTTTTTTTCTTTAATTGCAGATTTGAAATTTTCAAAATGAGAAATATGAGAAGATTTGTGTGTATTAAGCACGTATGTGCCACATTCGTAAGAAGCGCAGTAGGGGTACAGTACGTGATGCCACCACCACGTGCTGATTGCTCACATGGCCAACCTGTGACGAATCAAGGAGGACGAAACTTAATCATTTACATCTGGATACAATACCCCGAAGTACTTACCTTTATGCGAACTGGGCAATCACTAAACACTGTGGATTCTAAGTTCAGTAATTCTGAACGGTTCTTAGTAGTCTTTGGGGAGGTCACCGAAGCTATTGCAACGCAGTAATGCTTTAAGTGAGGCAGACAGAATGTCTGTGTAATGTCAGTTGGTGCTACTTAATAATGCAACAGACAAAGCCCTTACACCATCCTCGCCAATTATGGAGTCTTCTACCAGTTTCGCTGTCTTGCATAATACATTCAAGTAGGATAGACGAAGAAAGCCATCCTGTTAAATCATTCATTGTAATAGCTCGTATCCCGTCACTTCACTACATGCTGACTGGTGCAATATTTATCCTACGGTTGCCAAAACCATTAACACAGTGTGCGTAAACCAACTGCAGCGGTAGTAGCCAAACAAATAAGATAGAAACACTCCTGCACGGCGCAATTTAGAACATTTCGTTTGCGGAACTTTCCTTCAACCAAAGGAACTACTATTTCTTCCTCCTTTAATATTTTAATAATTATGCCGTATGTACAAAGTGCCGAAAATTGTAGAAATAAACGATAAATTTTACAGGTTTTAGTATAATATCTAAATGTTTTCTTTCTATCGTCAATTAGAAAAATTTCCCTTATTCTTATCGTTAACATTGATTAAATATTGACAAAAACTGAAAAGCATCCTACCTATCTTAACTTCACTCTATAAATTATCGTTTAACTTTTCACTTTTCCTATAAAATAAAGACATTTTCGTCTGCGCTGTCTATTATATTCTCGTTTAGTCTTGATTTTCGAACAAAATCCTCTTAATATCTGTTTATAACGATCGTTTATCTTATACTGTTTTTCTCTTGCAGAATTACAAAGCATCTAAAAATTTCTGTGCAATAATGATGAGAGAGGGGAGAAAAATTTTTCCTCCAGGAAGTTATTAATTACCAGGTATTTTCTATTATTGCCTTATATTTCGAAAAAAAAAACAATCAGATGGGTTTAAAATGATCATATATTCTATCAATTATATATAAATTAAAAACAGAATGAAGTCGATATTAAATAATAAAATAAAAATGAAACCTAAATTAAGATTTTTCTGTCGAGACACAACTGCAAAATCTTTATGCTGTGTTCAATGCAAACTAAATTATTAATACAATTTCTCTCCGCTTGCGCGTTATTATTTGGAAAGCGGCTTTTATTACACTCGCTTCTAAAGTTACAAAGATGATAAGGGCACACTCTACAGAAAATGACTCGTTTAAGTGGAACATTAACTCTTAACCAAATCATCCACAATCGATTTATTC